GATGCTGTGTGTCTTATCCCAATTGATCTTCTCCCCAGAATGGATAATGTACACCTTAATTCAGTTCTTTTAATGCAGAATAGCAAGTTTAGGAGCAGCAGCTGCCGCAGCAGAAGCTGCCACCCCTCCGGCACCACAACCTTGTGTCCTAGAAAGTCGCCCCACACAGATAACAGGTACACAAAAAATGTAGGGAGCCCAGGCAACATTCCAGACCGCAGACGCATCCATAGAGCATCCTCAGCCAGCTCGCTCCCAGCACACTGTGTCAGAGTGTGAAGACCTCCTTCCACAGGGAAGGCATCCCCACATCCAGGAAAGCCTGTATCTCCTTCACCCTGAGTGCCTTTGACTGGACCAGAGGGTCCAGGAGGCCAAGTTCACCCTTCTCAGGGGGACTGATCACGGTGTAGTAGGCCACCATGATACGCCCCCCCCCCCAGAGGAAGCTCATAACAGCCTTTCACAGCCTGATGTAATGTGTGTGGGGCAGGTACGACACGCTCAAGGTGTACCATAATACGAACAGTACCAGGGCATTCACTAGAAACGCTTTCTGCTGGAGCGAGAGGAGACGACCATCCCACCTGGCAAGCCGGCGCTCAACACCACCCGTTAGATCGTCCCACATCGTCACCGTTGCATCATCCGCGCTTCTCCCGAGCATCACAGCCAGGAGGCGACATCCCCCTCAGCCTCAGCCAAGCCCAGCTCAGCGGGCAACGACCCGGCACAACCTGAACGCGCTCAGCCCTTAGCACCACGCAGCAGTACAGGGAGCAGGAGAAACACACGAAGGATGCAGCTCAAATACAAATTAAGGACTGTTCTTTACCCTCCTTCATACCCGAAAAGACCCTCCCCAACAAGGTACTGTGTGTAGGTGCTGTGAGTGAACTGCCCCTCTACCCCACCGCATGGGCGCCTGTCTGCCTGCGTATTTGGGTGGGATGCAGGGGACCTCACTCTGCTGTGGCAGGTGAAGAGAGAGCAACTTAGGCAGGAGGGTGTTACAGCTCCTTCTGATCTCCTGGTGGACAAGAGATTCAGTAAGAAGGAACTGAGGCAGTACTGCTGCAGCCGGACGCGTGGCGAG